ATTGATCCATTTATAAATATTACTCTGAGGCAGGACTCGTAGTCTTGATTGCATGTTGAAGACATTCATTGTACATAAGAAGCCAGTTATTCTTGCTTCACAGTCTCCACGATGGGCCATGCTAATGACCTCAAGTGCTTGGTGCTCTGGCAGTAGAGAGGTGAAAAATAGAGGGGAATCGTTTGAACAAGCATATCTGGAGTTCACATCATAATTATTTGGAGCCTTGCCTCCCAGCCAGTCACTGAAGAACACACAAGTAATTCAGTGCCTAAACACTCCTGGAATTCTTTGAGTTCTCTGTATGGCATCTTTAAACAGCACTCTGAGGTATTTTTAGGCTTTGAGTTTGAATGACAGAGCTATAGGCAGCTATGGTAGTGCAGGCCTGTCACTCTAGAGACAGTGGAGCCTGAAGCCAAAGAAAGAGGAATTCAAGAACTGCCTATGCTACAGAGTAAGTTAAAGGCCAGCCTAGGCAACTCAATGAGAACTTGTTTCTAAATAAATAAGTGGATGGCTGGGATGTAGACCAGCAGGAGCAACCTGGGTTTGAATTACTGTACCATAAAAAAATTTATATATATATAAAAAAAGCCGGGCAGTGGTGGCACACATCTTTAATCCCAGCACTTGGGAGGCAGAGCCAGGCAGATTTCTGACTTCGAGGCCAGCCTGGTCTACAGAGTGAGTTCCAGGACAGCCAGGGCTACACAGAGAAACCCTGTCTTGAAAAACCAAAATAAATAAATAAATAAATAAATAAATAAATAAATAAAAATTTTAAAAAATTATAGGGAATGGCTCCCTATTAAAAAAATTATAGTGGCTGTTTTCAAGTCTGATGACCTCCATTCCTGGGCCCCACATGATAGGAAGAGAGAACTAGGATCCTCAAGTTGTCTTCTGACCTCCACTTCCACACCATGGCATGTGTGCACACTTCCATGCATGCATACAACTTTAACACTATTAAAATGTAACTTTTTAAAAAAAATTACAGAGCTAGGACATTTTAGAAAACTTTTATTGTAACTATTTTCAAACTTTTGGCCATGATTCACAGCAGGAAACAGATTTTTTTCTTTTGTGACCAAGTATCTACATAGGTGAAACACAATTTTTACAAAATATGCTATTATTTACCATGCTTACCTATTTTTCAACTTTCTAAATTCAATCTATTCCTTTTTTATTTTTAGATGATGAAATTAATTTTTATTCCACAACTTAATTTGGAAACCAACAGAGGCAGATCTGACAGCGAGAACATGGGAGGGAAAGCCTTAGTGTTCTAGTAATGAGGCCAAAAGGCATTAAAGAGACCAGTATGATGAAACTTGGCCTGATGCCCGTGCTGGTGATTCCAGCACTTGAGAGGCTGAGGCAGGTGGATTGCCTTGAGTTCCAGGAAAAGCTGTGATTCCATCACTCTGGAGGTGGAGGCAGATGGATAAGAAGGTGGTAGGGTGTTATGCAGATGGACTTGAAGGATTTACGGCTTATGGACACCCTATACTCATAGAAAAACAAGATTTGGACAGTGTAGAAACTCAATTGGTCAAGTAATCCCCTAAATCTCATTGCTTGACAATGTTGCTCACAAACCCACTAAATTAGTACTGGACTAACACGTAGGACCTAAACTGCAGTTTAAAAAAACAACACAGCCGGGTGATGGTCTGTAATCCTAGCATTTGGGAAGCTGAGCCGGGAGAACTAACTGAGGCTACATGAGAAGGACGGGGCTGGAAGGTAGAAGGAAAGAAAAAAAAGAAAGAAGAAAAAGAGAAAGCGGAAAAAAAAACCAGGAAGTAATCAGAGAAACTTTCTGAGATAGGTTAGCAGCGTGCTGCCCTAGATACTCCCCACCCACTCTCCATGGCTCCACCCCAACCTCACGCCGGTGAGGTTGTCAGCAGGGGGCGCTGTGCCTGCCGGGCTCAGATCAGAGAAGAGGCTCCGCCCCTTCGTTAGCTCATCCACGAGCGCCACGGTCGCGTCCCAGTGACGTCAGACTGCTGTGCGGCCGGCTGTGGGGTGGTGAGTTGGTGTGCTGGGCAGTTGGGGAATGGTGGTCGTTGGTGCTGCTGCTTACTAGGGCGGGAAAGCGAGTGAACAGGGAGAGTTGGAGGCCGCCACAGCAGGTTTGTTCACGGAGGCTCCAGGAGTCCAGGGGTGGGCTTTCTTGACTCTTACTTACCCTGGCTAGTCCGCGAGGCACGAGTCCCAAGGGCAGACAGAAGGCCCGTAGGTGGACTAATTTTGCTCCCAGGTAATGTTTTGTGCATCCCGGAAATGAGGGTTGGCTTCTTTGCGGCGTGAGGTGGGGAGTAGTTTCCCCCTAGATGGAGGACACTCTGAATACCAGTTCTCCAGTAGTTAGCCATGCTATTTGGTAGCAAGCTTCACGCCATTAAACACTAAGCGACAGAGAGTAAGTTCCTTTTATTTTAAGTACCATATAGTATGGTGCGTTACTGATGTGCCTGAGAAGATTTCTTAGCGGCATAGGTCAGTCTCTGGGAAGCCTGAAGAAAGAGCATTAAATTCTACCCTGAAAACTGGAAATTTTCCTAAAGAGAAAGGCGGCATAAAGGTCTCTTAGGGCCACATAGTCTGAAATTACCGTCATGAGATGTGTCTTAGTACTGACCTACGCTTCCATCAGCCACTCCAAACCTCTCTTTTCTGGTCAGAAGAATGAAGCCAGTAAGAATGCCTACTAAGTGGAGTTAAGGGAGGTTCAGTGAGCTAATCTGTAGAATAGGACCTGGTGCAGTACATCTTTAAAGGTTCAGCCCGATAGAACCGCACACCTTATTTTGAGGGTAGCTTTTTAAAAGTTGGCTTCCTGTAAACCTTCTTACTTGTAAAATTGTTGTTTTTCTCTATTGCCAAATGTGAGGTTCAAATGGGCAGAGAGGAGGCAGCATTACAAAAAGGCCTGGTGGTCCCCATGCAGAGTTTGTGTTTCAACTTGTTGCAGCTAAGTTGGCATGAATACTTTCTAGTCTGGGCAAGGTCCTGTTCTTGAGTAAAAAAAAATCAGTAAAAGTCGGTCACAAATCAGCCCACCTGATTAAGATCTCTTAGGCCAGGGCTATTTAGGAATCATATGTCTGAATTTCTGTTCTTGGTAAACATCCATTAGTCTTTGGTTTGCATATTTGAAGCACGTAGCATGAGCCTGGATGTCTGAGCTGTATGGCCTGTTAAGCGCAGGACAGAGCTGAGGGTTGTGAACATGGATTAGAAGACAATTCACACCCTTATATTTGTTAGCTTCTAATTGAAATTCAGCATACTGTCCCATTATGAGTTCACATAGCAAGTATTAAGTATGACTTTGTTAATGGCTTTAGCAATCACAGATATTTTCATATCAGAATGTTGCGATGGGATTGTTGTTCTTTGTTTTGAGACAGGGTCTTGCCACAAAGCCGGGAGTAGTACCTCCAAAGTATTAGGATTGCGGTATGGCTGGCAGGATGTCGCTTGTGTCCTGAGGTTGTGGCATCTTTTACACTTGCTACTGATTCTTACGTAATGTGGTGATAAAGAGGCATGTATGTGTTGTTCTCATAAGTTTGATTTCCATGTTTTGACAAGATAGTTTTCCACATAGAGCCTGTGCCCAGATTGTTTGTGAATTTTCATACTTGATAATATTTATGTGTATCCTTTAGAAGACACGTGGTGCAGGGCGTTGACGCTTTTGAGTCACGTGATGCCCAGTTCTAAGTCTGCACTCTGCCTTGTTTCTGCTCTCTCACTATGAGAACGTGTCCTTTCTCTGGGCTTCAGTGCCTTCTCGTTTCTGTGTTTTGCTCGTTTGTTTTTGGTAATGAGCCTGTGGTGAAGGTAACCCTCTGGCATGGTGTGAGAGTGACATCCCTGTTCTGACCCAGTGCAAAAGTTGTGATGAGTCTTAGAGAGAAAAAGAAATATTTTAGATAAGCTCCGTTTAGGCTGTGTTCAGTATTAGTGAATTACTAATGTACCGTCATTCAAACAGAATCATATACAAAAAAAAAATCCACAAAATATGGTTACATACTGAGCAGTTGACAAAAATGTGTCCCAGAAACTTTCAGTGGCCTACCTCTGGGTCTCCAGAGGAATGGTTTACCTATTTAATGGCTTGTTACCATTAGTAGTGACTTTATAGAACAAATTACCACCAGAGTGAGAACATACTAGATATTCTTTCTAATGCTATGTATTTTATGTGTTTGAAAACAGCAGGAGAGGTTTATAAGTTTTACAAGTCTGCTAGCTGAGTGGTATGCAAAAAATATCGAAACCTTGGGCACATAAAGGTATTTACTGTCAAGCCCTACACCCAGGAAAGAACTGAAATTGTCCTTTGACAATTTGTGCAGGTGAATACACAAATGCATACATACCCATAAACACAGTATATGTGTGTATATGTGTATGTTTAATAAATCTAAGTTTAATACAGTTTAAAAAGCTTAATAAAATTAAATCTGTTCATAAAAAAGTTGAGCTTGTGTTTTGCTTAGTCTTTGAAAACCTTGATCAGTTTGTCTTCTTGCAACCTTATTTTCGTATCTCTAGGCCCTTCCAACCTTATTTACATATCTTTTGGTCTTGAAAGGCATTTTTGGTTGAGACCCGAGCATGTAAAAATGTTGCTGTCTTGGACTCCCTTGTTTGCTTTCTAAGATGAAGAAAATTTGAGATGAAGAAGGCCTGTAATTCTGTATCCCATAGGAGAAAGAATACATACTGGTCCCCCTTCTTCAGATGTGGGGGAAATCATCTATGAATGGAGGCAATGTGTAATACTTGACCCCTGGGAGGGAGACCATATACCATATGGTAGGACTTGTGATGGGACCCGCAGGGACTGGTCCATAGAAAGGTATCAGAACCTCATGACAAAGAGTGGCCTTGGTGAAGAGGAACCTCTGTAGCCCCCTTGTGCTGATCATATCATCTTACTGATGAAAACCCTGGTGTTGTTTTCACAGAACTGTCCGGCCTTTAGCTTTTCATCCTTGATTAAGGAAATGACCAACCAGGTAAGGTACTCAATGAGAGGAAAAGCTTCAGTTAGTTACTGGCAAATTCTAGCTTAATAGGTTGCCTGGGTGTGTGGTTAGGGAACTCCTGTTTAATTCTTGACTGGTTCCTAGAGACCTAGTTGACTTTGGGTACCTTCTCATCACAGGGTTAGGTGGCATTTGTAAATGCACCACACTAAGATCACTTCATGCCATTGCCACAGTTTAGAGGGGGACTGAGAAGGTTTAAAAGAATTTATAGATAAAAGTCAATGGGAGGTAGCAGTCAATAAGCACCTTTAGGATTACAGACAAATGTATGGGCTGTGTCGTCTCATACAACTGCAAAAAAATAGGCTTCAAATAGGACTCAGCTTCCTCCCAGTTCAGAGGTGAAGAAAGCGTAGCTGGTCTTACATTTTTGGGTGTGGGGCACATTGTAGTCAGGTGAGATGCTACATACCTGTGGGGGCAACACTTAGAAGAGCGAAGCAGGAAGTTTAGTGTAAGTTCAGTGTAAGCCTTGGCTACCTAGAGAGCCCCCCACCTCAAAAACAGAATGACGAACTGAATTTTCTCTGGTGTAGCTAGCTATACAAGGGTGTCATGAGTAGGAACCAAGGACTGTGTAGGATGGTCAGGGAGGGGGCATAGGGAGTGGCTGATGCTGTAGTGACTGTCTCACTTGGAGTGCTGGTGTGGGGGGGATGCAAGAGAACAGATCTATCACTGACTGTGACTTCTGTTCTTTTGTAGTACAGTATTCTCTTCAAGCAAGAACAAGGTAAGCAACCCACCTCTTCGAGCAAATTCTTTGTGGAAAAAAATGTGTCCTCCTGGTTTCTTTAAGATTTTATCACACCAACCGGACACACAGATTCTAGATGTATTAACTTTGCTGAATTGGCCATGGCAGCCAAAAACAATTACACAGTGAAAAGGTAAAAGTAAATAGCTATTTGGGGTCTGGTGGAGTAAGCCTGTAATACCAGCTGCCTAGGAAGTAAGATAGGATCATGAGTTCAAGGCCAGTCTAGACAATATATTGAGACTTTGTCTTAATATAAAAAATGTAAAGAAGGCTGGAGATGTGGCTTGATGGTAAAGCACTTGCCTCACACTCACAGGGGCAATCCCAGTACTACAAAATACATCTATACATGCGTGTATACACACACACACACATACATACACACACACAAAGAAAAGTAGAAGTCAGATGGCATAATGGAGAACTCTGGGATAAAGAGAACTCTTCCACCTGAGGAAGATGTAATGCTGAGCTTCCCTGATGCCAGTGTAGGAGGCCATATTTTGAACCTCGGAATGCTGTTGATGTCTGTACGCTAGAGGTAGGTTTAAACCTGGTCCTAACTTAGAATTCACTATGGAGTCTTTACACAGCATCATCCTCCATTTACAAGTATGGCAACTCTTTTAGAGGACATTTATCTCTATAAAAGCAGAGGGTGAAACAGAATTCTGTTGAGACACTTGGTGCAAGGCTGTGGCTGTGGCTGTGGCAGTGATGGGGAATGGCAGCAGGAGGTAGGTCTAACTACTGTACGGACTAGCTCCCTGAGGAGACAGGCCTGCAAAGGAGCAGTGTCTGTGCATGGACAAGGTAATCCTGTCCCGTTTCTTCTCTGTAGTGCAGACAGGATAGCACAGGCTTGGGAGTTTGTAAGGTGCCTAATACAAGTTCTGTCACTCCAAATAAGTGACACTTAAGTAGTCCCAAAGTAACTAGTTAACTAGTTAACTAGTAAGCTGTTCAGTATGCCAGGCAGCAGCTCTGCATGAAGCTAATTCCGTCAGGTCAGAGCTTAGCAGGCTTGGCTCTGGTGCTGTATAAGGAAGCTGTGACACGTGTGTAGATCGGTGTTTTAGAAAGGTAGCTTTGGAGAATCGTGACCAGGCATGGATGAAGCTTCTGTGCATACTTACCTTGTTTAACAGATGTGTACTAGCTCTGAAGATTCCACAGTAGAGCTCACAGAACATGTAGCTCTCAGACTTAGACTGAATGTGGACTTCAGTTAATATCTACAGTTTGAATTCTAGCCCTGTCCTTCTTAGCTTCGTACTTTGGGTGAACAACAAGGCATCTCTGAGCCTCCAATCCCTTACTTGTACACTGAGAAGGATCTTTTTGGGGGAGGAGGGAAGTTCCACACTGGTGATCAAGTCCAGGGCCTTTCCCATTCTAGGCAAGTACTCCACCTCAGCTCTTGTTTTTTTGAAAAAGGATTTTTCTTGTAACTCGGGCTTGCCCTGACCTTGCTGCCTAGGCTCTAATGCAAGTGCTGCAGTGACAGACACACGCCACCACCCGCAGGTATGATCTTGATAGGACTTGTTTCATAAGGCACCTGTGAGTCAGACAACAGTTGGGGAAGGATTAATGTAATAAGCGGTCTTAAGCATAATAAAGACATTTATAGTGAAATATACCGCATACATTTTTAGACCAGTACTGTTTCCGAAGGCCTCTGAGGTATTAGCTCCAGTTAAGTTGAGGTCCTTGGGAAGGGGCAATTCCCCACTCACGTAGTCATTTTGGTCAACTGATTGCTGGTGTAGTCTGATTGTCTGATGGATGACGGATTATTGGATCAGTCACTGTGTTTCACTGTGTCTTACTCTGATTCTGCTTCCCTTCTTGAAAATTTGTGTTTTAGGCCAGGTGGCTAAAACCAAACAAGAACTTCTAGTTTTCCTGTGTATTCCCACGAGTCCAGCGGTACAGTGAAGAGATCCATAGAAGTGGACATTACTTCTGAGTTGTCAGCTTGTATTTCAGCTGTGCTTTATCACGTTGAATTTGGGAATTATGTGCATAGAAACTTTAAATGAAGCCCTTTCCATTCTAGCCCACGATGATGCCATATGGTCAGTTGCCTGGGAGACAAACAAAAAGGAAAACATTGAAACAGTGGTCACAGGATCCCTGGATGACCTGGTGAAGGTCTGGAAATGGTGAGCATCTTTCCCCTTTGAAAAACCATGGAAATTTGGGGCAAGGGTTTTGCTTCTGGCCCCCCCGGTTGCTATAAGTAAAGCATTGATTTTCCGGTCAAGAGAGCAGTAACAGCATAGTAGCTTAAAAAAACAGCTTTTTTTTTTTTTAAGTTGTTTGGTTTCCTGATATGTAGAATTAAAGTTCTATGTGGTAGGGAGCCCTAGAGTTAGCCCTGGCTACATTCTGTGTTCAGTTCTCAGGTTTCTGCATTTCATTCACCATTTGTTGGTAATGTCCAAGGGTGTAGAAGCTCTGATGCCTATACAGTATCTTGTGTAAAGAATCATTTTCTGTCCCTATTATAGGCGTGACGAGAGGCTGGAGCTCCAGTGGAGCCTGGAGGGCCATCAGCTCGGGGTGGTGTCTGTGGACATCAGCCACACCCTTCCTATTGCTGCGTCCAGCTCTCTAGACGCTCATATTCGCCTCTGGGACTTGGAAAATGGCAAGCAGATGAAGTCTATAGATGCAGGACCGGGTAAGAACTCCACGTCTAGGGGAGATGCTAGGAATCCGCAGTCCCCTTTCAGACCTGTAAGGGTAGATGTTTCCAGGTCCAGTTCAGATCTGCAGGTACTCTAAGTCAACCCAGATGACACTTTGGTCACAGAAGGGTGTTAGACTGAGTGATGAGCATCAAGACAGCCTTACATAACTTCAGGCCTGGTTTGGCTGCCAAATGGATTGTAGTGGTGTACTCATGGGAAAGCCAAACCAAACCAGTTGTTTGGATTTGAGAATTGAGTTTGGTATTGTAGAGCTGTGCTGGCCATGCCAGTGGGTCTCTACCCGACACACTCGGGGAGATACATTCCCTGCCTTACAGACGCCTCCAGTCTGAATAGTGGTTGTCTCTATGAATTGTGGTCAGAGTGCCTGGGTTCTCGTGTGTGGCACATGGAGAGACAGAAACGAAAACTAGAACAGTGTCTTGCTCCTCAGCTCCGTTGGACATTATCTGAGATGGTAAGGGACAATTTTACTGGACAAGATTGGTGTAGAACAAACAGTCTGACAGTCCAGGATTCCTTTTAGTCTCCTGTTTACTTACAGTGCCTGCATGGTTTTCACTAGCAAAGCCTGGGCAGTGATTTCCAGAGATACAGAGAGTTTGACATCACTCCGCACACTCCTTTGTGGTGATTACGAGAGGGCTGCTCAGGTGCTTGTCAGAGTTCATTCCTCAGTAGACCTGCCTCCCTCCAGTTATGCTCACAGTTACTGTCAGCTACCCAGCCTGTGAGGAGGCCAAGTAGTCTAGGACCGAGTGCCTCTCTCCTTAGAAACGGTATTCCTTGGCTTACTACTAGAGGTTTTGTTGAGAGTATCCATGCCCAGTTCCTGTTTGAATCCTCTGAATCATGGGTTAAGAGTGTGGGGCTGAAATGTGTATCTGGAGAAAGCCACTCGGATACTTTGTGACTCACAGGTGGTTGTGCCTTCGCCCTTCTCTGTTTGCACTATGCATGGAGAACAGGGATCTCTAGCCATTCTACAAAGCCTGTTAGCACCCGAACATAAGGAGCATCTAGAAAGAGAAGTGAATCTGTTGCTGCTTTTAAAGGATTTTTTTATTACGTGTTATTTATTTTTTGTGTATGAGCACATGTGTGTGTTTCAGAGGACAACTTGTGTGAGTTGGACTTTCCATGTGGCTCTGGGAGCTCAGGTCATCAGGTTTGGTGGCTGGTGCCTTTGCCTGCTCAGCAGTCTCTGGTCCTGCTGCTGCTTCTTTATGTTGAGTACCTGCACCCCTCAGGACAGTGACACTGCTTACTTTGAATTTGTTGTGGCTTTATATCCATCACACATGAAGAAGTGAGTGCTGCATTGATCTAAGGAAAAGCGTTCTGCCTGCCCAGCTTGCTTTTCCTTCTGCTGGGTTGTAAAGGTTACTGGATTGCTTTTTGAGATGGTTTAGGAGTTGGGTTTTGTTATTTTAGTTTTTTGAGACATGGTCTTACAAATAGCTCATGCAGGGCTCAAGCTTATAGCTGCTGCTTCTGCTTAACCTCCCAAGTGCCAGAGTTACAGGCACCTGGAGCTACAGGTGACTGTTATGAAAGATATTGCAAAGAATAAAGTGGTTGGTTATGCTTTGGTGGGATAGAGGTGGGAGTCTATTCAAAACTAGATCAAGTCTTGGTCAAATAAGAGCCTTGCTGCCAGCAGCTAAGTAGCTGAGCGCCTTAGATGCGTCTAGGTTCAGTGAAGCTAGGGGCAGCAGACTTTCTTTGAAAATGTACCACCACAAAAGGAACAGGAAGAGTGGACAGAGAAAATCCTGATTTTGAAGAAGAAACTGAAAATAGAACAAACAAAGCTGGAGGAATGAGTCCATTATTGTCACTCCAGCAGGCTGTGTGTGTCTGGTGACTGCAGGCCAGCTGTGGACACAGGAAGGCCAAAGGGGGCAGTGTAGAGGCCCCTGCAGATCACGTCTAAATGCCCACAGGAAGAGAAGAGCAACCAACCCTCTGTAAGGAGGAGGAATTTAGGGTTTGGAATAAATATTTTATTCTGCAAGTATTAAGGTTAAATCTTAGAGTACACATTTCACTGAGAGATAAGCATGGTTTCTGTTTTGTGACTGAAGACATCTGGTAGTAAAAGATCTGTCTCGCAAAGTGATTAATAGGGATATGTCAGAACAATTTGGAAGAATCATTTTATTAAGCTTTGAGAAATAAAAGTTAGGTTTTCTGTTGACCTTTTTCCCTGTAAATAGGATTTTTAAAAACACACTCCTTTTTGAGCCTGACATAGATAGGGGGTGGCAGAAGCTGATGTACTGGTGTTCTTTAAAGAATAGAACTGATAGAATATACAGTACATATAATTGCATATATATTAAAGGGGAGATTTTCTAGATTGGCTTGCATGGTTGGCCCAGGTGGCCCAGTCATACCTGTCTCACACTGGAGAGCCTGAGAACCCAGTAGCTGATGACAGCAAAGTCTCTCAGGCCTTCCAGGCCTCGGGTCTTGTTCCTACATAGAGGAGCAGAAAGAAAACTGCCCTCTGTCATTTAACTCTATAGACATTAGAAAGCCATCTAGGCTATGGAATTTAGTTGCTTAGTGAGTAAAAGCAAGCACTGGAACACAAGCATTAGGACTTGATTTGAGATCTCCAGAACCCATGGCAAGCAGGAGAGAGGTGGAGATGGGTGGCCCCCCCTGACATGCCCAGTGGGGAGCAGGTGACCCTGTCTCAAGGTGCAAGTTGAGGACTGATGCTGACCTTGCCCTGTCATACAATCTGTAGCATGATGGCACGCTGCTTTGGTGGCCATACACATACTTACACAAGTGTGTGCACACCACAGAAAAATTGTTTAAAGCAGATAAAGACTGATTATAAAAACATCTTCGGGTCTTAATGGTTGAGAACTTTTAAAGTAAATTTTATTTTTAAAACAGACATTTAGTAAGTAAAGTGATCAGGTTTAATGACAGCACTGGGGTAGGGTGTGTATGAAAATGTTTAAGAGTTTTATTGTGAAGTACTAGGGATGGGCGGTGGCTCATCTGGGGTTGACCTTTGTCTCCCATGCGTCAAGGTTGTAGACTTGCCTCTCCTTCACCATCTCATAAAGTAAGAAGACTGCAGAAGAGCCATGCTCAGCATCACCAAGCCTGCCCCAGGAATGAGGAAGGTGACTTAGGAAGGAGTCCCTTTCTTCTCTGTGCTGGTGTGGGGCAACTCCTCTTCAAGACTAGTCTAAGGAAAGTGACCAGGCATGCTGTGAAAATAGCTAAAGCTGCTAGGTGGTTAGCTGAGGCAGGTCCCCAGGTCGCTGAGAAAAGAAGTGAGAAAGCACCATTGGCAGCCCAGATGGAGACCATGTGTATGCATGTAAGACCTGCACAGTGCAGCCAGGGACACATGCATTGAACTGAGTCAGCCCAGGTCCATAGCGTCACCTCACAACTGACCTCTTAGTGATTCTTCATTGCCTGTGAGTCTGTAGTACATGCTCTGTTGTAGTCTTTTAAGACTGTTTTTGGTAATTTTCATTTATAGCGTACGTGAGGTAAAATCTCACCTGTGTAATTACTCTGAAATTCGTCATTTTAAGTGTATGGCTTATTGAATACATTTCTACAGTTGGGGAGCTATCACTATAGTGCATTTATGGACGCTCCATGCCCGTGGGATTTCCTCATGTCAGCCTCTGAAAAATACAGCCATGATCTCTGTCTCTGTTTTTTACCTTAATGAATATTTTCATCTAAGTGGATATTTAGTGTCTTACTTATCTCCGATGTTTTTCAAGTGTTTTTGAGTTTCATCCATGTTGTGTCCTTTTTGTTGATGGTAATGTTCTTTTAAGAGGATGCACCATAGCTCCCTCATTGGCCAGTTGAAGTCTTACACTGTTTGCAGTTTGAGCTGTAAAGCTGCTGTGAACATGAGAGCATAAGTCTTGTGTGCGTGCTTCCATGTCTCCTGCGTAGCTCCCGGGAGTGGACAGCTGAGCTGTTTGCTTTCACCTAAGAAATTGTCAAACTGCTTTTCAGAGTGGCTGTCCATTTTCCATTGACAGCAGCGTGTGAAGGCTCTGATCTCTCATGGCTTCATGACTTTTCAGAGTGGCTGTCCATTTTCCATTGACAGCAGCGTGTGAAGGCTCTGATCTCTCATGGCTTCGTTAGCTCTGGGCATTGGTCAGAGTGTGAAGGCTCTGATCTCTCATGTCTTCGATAGCTCTGGGCATTGGTCAGAGTGTGAAGGCTCGGATCTCTCACGGCTTCGTTAGCTCTGGGCATTGGTCAGAGTATGAAGGTTCTGGGCATTGGTCAGAGTGTGAAGGCTCTGATCTCTCATGGCTTCGTTAGCTCTGGGCATTGGTCAGAGTGTGAAGGCTCTGATCTCTCATGGCTTCGTTAGCTCTGGGCATTGGTCAGAGTGTGAAGGTTCTGGGCATTGGTCAGAGTGTGAAGGCTCTGATCTCTCACGGCTTCCTTAGCTCTGGGCATTGGTCAGAGTGTGAAGGTTCTGGGCATTGGTCAGAGTGTGAAGGCTCTGATCTCTCATGGCTTCCTTAGCTCTGGGCATTGGTCAGAGTGTGAAGGCTCTGATCTCTCATGGCTTCCTTAGCTCTGGGCACTGGTCAGAGTGTGAAGGCTCTGATCTCTCATGGCTTCCTTAGCTCTGGGCACTGGTCAGCCCATATTTATTTAGATTTAAGAGTCTCATAGACGAAATTTAAAGTTGGTAAAGAAGTTTCCCAAATCAGGAAATGTTTTCTCTAAGTTTAAAGACTTCCATTTGGTCCTAAATCAGGACACCGTTTCTCTAATTTGAAAGACTATTGTGTTTGATGAAACTACAGTTTGTAAGTAAAGTCAAATCTATTCTTACTGGGTACTTTCCTTTTGTTTTCTTTCTAGTGGATGCCTGGACTTTGGCATTTTCTCCGGACTCCCAGTATCTGGCCACAGGAACTCACATGGGGAAAGTGAACATTTTTGGTGTGGAAAGTGGAAAAAAGGAATATTCTTTGGACACTAGAGGAAAATTCATCCTTAGTATTGCATATGTAAGGAGACCTCTCTGTTGAGTCTTTTAGCTGTAGCCCTCTGTACAGATCCTGCTGTGCTCATGAGGCCAAGCTCTGTTGGTGTGTTTGCTGGCAGCCAGTTAGACCTGAAAGCCAGCAGGATGGCTTGCATCAGAAGAGACGATTAACCATAGCATCTCAAAGCACCCATCTCTCCTCAACAGAGTCCTGATGGAAAATACCTGGCCAGTGGAGCCATAGATGGAATCATCAATATTTTTGATATTGCAACTGGAAAACTTCTGCATACACTGGAAGGTATCCACACCTCCTCATCCTGTTTTGTGCTCACTGGATGGATTATCAGGTCACAAAGCAAGAGTACTTCTTTGTTAAAGTGTTAAAGTCAACATTGTTTTAATCTCTTGGAAAACTGAAGTACCACTAATGTGTTGGACTTAGAACTGTGGGTCTGATCTGAACAAATAGTTCTTAGGGTGTCAGGTACTTTTTTAGTGAAGTAGGTTGCTTTTGACATGTCTCTGATCCCTCCCTCCCTCCCTCCCTCCCTCCCTCCCTCCCTCCCTCCCTCCCTCCCTCTCCTTTTCTTCATGAGCTTTGTGATTGGAAGGCTTCTCCTTTTTGTGCTCATTTGATACCAGATGAGAGCATTTGTGGTCACTCTCCACACTGGAGGCCTTAGGACAGAACGGGAGAGCTCACTCATCTCATGGATGATCTTGAATTCTAAACAAGGACACAAATTATCTTCTCAATTAACCATTCACCCAAGGACAAGAGATTTAGTAGAGAATATATTATTTGTCCAACTTTACAAATCAGAAGCAGTCTGTATTTCCATGTTTGGCTATATTTATACTTGAGTTTTTGTATTTTAGGTTTTAAGTGTGCGTGTGTGCATGTGTGCACCCATGCACCTGGCTAGAGGCCAGATTTTTCTAATCCCTTGGGGTCAGAATTGCAGATATTTCTTTGTATTTTAAGGTTTTTAATTATGTATATGTATGTGGGGGGGGGAAGGGAGAGGGAGAGAGGGAGCGCGAGCAAGCCTGCAGAGGCCAGGTTTTTTTTAAATCCCTTGGAGCCAGAATCGCAGGTGATTGTGAGCTGCTAGCTGTGGGTACTAGGAACTGAATTTGGGTTCTTGAGAGAGCAGTACACACTGAGCTGTTCCTCCAACCCCCCAGGTGTTATTTAATCTTAGCAATGTGTTTTGAGGCCTGGGTAATGAGAGAAGGACACTAAGAAGAGGTGGCTCCATGAAAGAGGCTGGAGTCCAGTGGAAATGGGGAAGGGTCTAGTCTGACTGAAGACCCAGGGCTATTCCAGCTCAGTGATTTTTGGTCATTCAAAGGGCACAGTTAGCAGGATCTCACGTATCAGCTGCCAGGTTAACAGCTTTTCTGATTTTCAGGCCATGCGATGCCCATTCGCTCCTTGACCTTTTCCCCTGACTCCCAGCTTCTCGTCACGGCTTCAGACGATGGCTACATCAAGATCTATGATGTGTGAGTTACCTTCTCCAGAGGAAAGGTCGCAGCACCAGTAGCAGCTTGTCCCCTTACTGTGAGGAGCCATTGTAGGAATTCGCTGCCTGCTCCTGGCCATGAGTCAGCTCTGAGGCTTTGGGCTTCCCAGTTATTCCTCCTCAGCCAGCCCCTCCTGCTGGAGGTCTCTGTGGAGTACATGTGCACCTGTGTAGTCCTAGTGGGGTTAGATCCTCCTGTCTTTCTCAGGCAGCCAGGCGTTTGGGCTCACTGGTACACAGTTCTTTTGGGTAGCTGTGTGCTATGTAGTATACACCTGAGGAAATGGAGCTGGGCTGTAGCTGGCCTGGAGTGACAGTGAAAACCTAGAGCCTGGTCAGGGCCCTGCTGTTATCTAGGCTAGCATCTCATCAGGGAACCCTCAGTTAGTAAGCTACTTCATAGGTCTAGGTGGGGAGCCTTTCGGAATATGTCCTAGGCGACGACAGTGTCCCCGTCTCCAGCACTGGGGCTGCACTGCTCTCCTCCTGTTGAGTCCCTCCCACATCCTCATCCCGTTGCTACTACAGTAAATGCTGTGCATTGTCCCAGGCTTCATGATGAGTCTCCCTGCTCAATGAGCCTCTGGTTCTTTACTCCCCAGTTCTTTTCTACTCTGTTGTATACATTTTTCACTCCAACATGTTCTTTGTCCATGAGCTGTTTGAGAGTTGTAACTCTGACCAGAGGGGCATGCTGCTTTTGACATTCGAGCTGAGACCTAGAGAAGAGACTGTAAAAGTAGCATGTGCTTGGTAATGATAGAGTCAGCTTAAATGTGGCAGTTTGGGGCAGGTCTTTGTTAGCTGTCGTTGCAGCTCTTTTGTTGACCTCCCAAGAGCTGTTGAGGCAACATGATTTAGTGCCTCCATTTTGCTGAAGAGGACCTTGAACAGAGGTGGTGATTGCCCTAAGAAATAATGAGCCTCAGGATTCCGTACCCTCTTCTATAGCCTCTTGTCCTGCAAGGGCTGCCTCTGCTTTCTTTCCCTAACTGAGGCTTGTTTCTAGGGGCAGAACTGCTGACCTCAGGCCCAGGGCACGTCTCTCATAGGTATTTGGTTTCCCAGGAAGTGTGGTTCAGCATTGGCAGAACTTGCCACTCTTCAGGGTTGAGTTCTCAGCAACCCCCTTGGTGGCTCACAACTGCCTGCAACTCTAGCTCCAGGGGGTCTGATGTCTTCTCTTGAACTCCAGAAGCACCTCTGCATAGATGGAGCACATATGTAAAACAAAACTCTTTTTCAAAGCTAAAGAAACATGAAACCAGTTGTAGGAATTAGGCCTAACATGAGTTTTTGGCTTTTTAAGGTATTTTTTGTTTTTGATGAGGTTTTGTTTTATTTTTAGTTTTGACAGGGTCTTACTAATTAAACAGCCCTCCCTATCTGGCCTGGAACTCAGTATGTAGTAGACCAGGCTGGCCTCAAACTCACCGAGATCTACCTGCTTCTGCCTCCCACGTGCTGGGATTAGAGGCGTGCACCGCCACACCCAGCTGCCTGGTTTGTTCTTGACTAGATTATAAATGATCTTGAGTCACATATGCTCTGAAGGGTACATCTTGCTGCTTTCCTGTCACCATGGGAAAGGTCCTGTTGCAGGGAGGGCTGGCTGACCTGCTCACCTCTGCTGCTCTCTGTCCTCAGCTTGGAGTTGGCGGAGGCATCTCTCTGGCTTCCAAGCTCTTGATATTTTTAACTTAATGCTGCTCTAAAAATTTGTCTCTGGTGTTTGATGCTGCTTCACTAAAAATGGAATTTAAGACAGTTGGTCATTCTGATATTATACCCTGCCATGTGAACAGAGATAGTTCACTAACCAATTCAGCAATTCAGGTTCCCCAAATTACCATCTTCACTGTTTGAATCTTTCTTCTTTCAGGCAACATGCCAATTTGGCTGGTACGCTGAGTGGCCATGCATCCTGGGTGTTGAATGTTGCTTTCTGTCCTGATGACACTCACTTTGTCTCCAGGTATGTAGGAGTCTTAAATTTGTAAAACACTTGGCAGGGAGGAACAGTCTTCTGGTCATGTGCTGTAAAATTGAAAGACTGCATTACAGACTTGTTAAAATTCTGGGGCTAGAGAGATGGCCCAGCAGTTAAAGACAACTGATTACTCTTCTATTTCCAGTACCCACATGGGAGCTCACAACCATGTGAAACTCTACCCCGAGGGGATCCCACGTTCTGGTCTACTGGAATACATTCAGACAAAACACTCATATGCATAAGTAGAATTAAAAACTTTAATAAAATTTAAGCTTCCCAGCTAGGCATGGTAATATAATTCTCTTAAGGCCAACCCTGGAGAGGTAGAGGCAGGTAGACCTCTAAATTCAAGGCCAAACTAGTCTACATAGTGAGTTCAGAGCCAGCTAGAATTATGTAGTGAGATCCTATCACCCCACGACCCTTAAAATTCAAATTGCCTTTGTTTACTCTAGTTGTTAAAGGGTTTTATTGTTTTTAATTTAAGTAAACTATTGAAATCTTAGATTTTTCTTAAAAATCTAGGTTTCCACTTAGTGTAACTCTGACATGTCCCTGTGTTCCTAGAGGAACTTAGAGTCTGCACATCTACCTAGGACGCGTGTTTATAGATGCTAGTGATGGCCAGGCCCCGGAGGCCAGGTTGGTTGAGAAACATGGACTGTAGCTGATGAGCATTGCTCAATGACATTTCTACAGACCGCCCTCTCATCCAGAAATGGGTAGATAGGCTTAAGGCTCCTGATGACCGAACTTGGCAGCAAGGCCAAGCTGATGAGGACCATCTTGGCTGCCCGGTGAGGAGCCAGTCATTTGGTGACACCTGAACCCCAGCTCTGGGTAGCAACAAGGGACCTTCTAAAGGTAGAAATGTGTGAGTCTGCAGAGGAGCATAGGATAATCCAGTGTTCTCATCCTAGCGTTTGCTTTTGAAACAGTTCATCTGACAAAAGTGTAAAGGTTTGGGATGTTGGAACAAGGACCTGTATTCACACCTTCTTTGATCACCAGGATCAGGTATGGAAAAAGCAGCATTTGAACTCACGTGCATTTGGGTTTCCTTTGTAGTCGTTGTATTGGAGTTAAGAGTGACAGAGCCCTGAGACAGGTCAGCCTTGTGACCATGAGACATGTCCCCTACACATGCCAAGACACACAACTTAGCCACACGTCCTCCTTTGAAGTTACACACCTATGTGTGGGATCCTTTTCTGGGTACTTCCAGCAGCCACCTTCTTTGGGTGGTTCCATTGCTTAACATAGTCATCATTTGCATTTTTGGAGTTATCCAGGGATATGATTTCTTTAATATATAGGTGGGGGAATGTTACAGGTTGTTCACTTGTAATGACAGTGCTAAGCCTGGTTTCCATGTTTATAAGTCAAAGGAAATGGTAGCATCTTTGTAGATTCTTCTTAGTCCTTACTGTTTATAAGAGTCTCCTGGGGATCTTAAAATGTCACTTGTGTGCTGAGAGCAGTGGTACATGCTGTAATCCCAGACTTGGAGGCTGAGGCTGGAGGATCTACACTGGTAGTTACTTGCCTGGCATGTGTCAGGTCCCAGCTTCAACCTTCCATACAGAAGAAAATGGATTCTGATTCACTTGGTACCTCATGGGCCTGAGAGTCTTCTTTTTTTTTTTTTTTCTTTCTTGACCAAGGGAAGAGGATTTTTAAAAGAGTTTTGTATTGTAGCTTAGACTGGTCTTGAACTTTGTGTAGTCTGCCTGCCTTTGCCTGAGATTGCAGGTGTGAACCCCCTGCCTTGCTGAGACTATGTTTCAGCCTCTTCTGCATGTTGCTATCACTGCTGATTCCAGCCACTCCAGGTTGCAAAGGGTCAAGAGCCGTGGTTCTCAACCTAGAACTCAAACAGCCCTTTCACAGGGGTCACATATCAGATATTTCCATTATGATTCATAACAGTAACAGTTATGACGTAGCAACTAAAATAAGTTTATGGTTGGAAGATACCACAACATGAGGAACTGTATTTATTAAAGGGTCACACACAGCACTAGGAAGGTTAAGAACCATTGGTCAGGAGGAACTAGGCAGCATAAAAATTAAAATGCTCAGAGCAACAACAACAACAAAATCAGCAGATAATTTATTTGAATGCTTTTAGATATCTTACACGGTTTTTTTGGGTGTATCTTATGGTTACCTAGCAGAATTACTATTCATACTGCTTTGTATTTGTTAAGTTATTGCAGTGAAGAGTTGAATCTTGGTAGTCCACTACTGGCTTTAAGCATTTTTCTTAGTCAGTCCTAACTGTGTTGCTTATTTTGTGGGGTAGTTGTGATGTTGCTTCAGAGAAAGATGTTTGGAATGGAAGTGAGGCCCTCATATGGCCTGAAACCAAGGTTAGCCTCCAGTCTCAAGGTGAGGGTACAGCCTGAGAACGATGAGTTCCTAGTAATCACACAGTTAACTCAGCCACATTCATTCTGAGAGGAAATATGAAGTCCAGTTCAGTGCACAGCCAAGGAAATTGAAATCAGTGGTGCTCAGGAGCTCTCGGCTCTTTGGGCAAAGGGTAAATATTGACCTTGTTGAGGGTAGGCATGAGTGGTTTGCTTTGCATTTTTCCCTACAGGCTCCTCCTGGAAGCATAGTGCTGGCCCAGGCAGGAATCCCATGGCAGGAATCTCATGACATTTCCCCTAGATCTGAATCTTTGAAAGAGTAGTAGGTTGCCCTGTCTTAGAGGGGAAGTACTATTCCATAGCCACAGGAAGTGGCCCAGTTAAAGATTAAAGAACCATTAGTCAGGAGGAACTAGGCAGCATAAAAATTAAAATGCTCAGAGCAACAACAACATTGTGGACATTGGGCTAGTCTAGATTCAGCAAAGGAAGAATGTTCATTCCTTAAGTATTCCTTACCAAAAAATACAGGAATTAGAATGCTTTTTCGCTTTCTTTAATTTGCAGGTTTGGGGAGTAAAATATAACGGAAATGGATCAAAAATTGTATCTGTTGGAGATGACCAAGAGATTCATGTCTATGATTGCCCAATTTAAACACCAGCCTCTTGAGGGCCATTGCCTCAGACTACGCAGGGTTGATCATGACATGCCTCAGCTTTTTTGGCATACTTAAAGTACAGCATATATTGTAGAAATTTTGTAGATACAGTATACATTTTTCTTGTTTTATTGGAAATGTTCCTCATATTTTAATGTAAATAAAGCATTCTTAATGCAACCAGCTGCATTTGTGAGCGTGCTGTTCTTTTCCCTGACCCTGTCCCTGGAGAGCAATGAGTTAGTGGAGAGTGCCTGCCTGAGAGCGGAGATACAGGTGCTCACTGGGCTAGAAGGGCAGGTCTCTGTTCCCAGGTAACACCAGCCTATTTCAGATGGAGTTCTGAAGGAAACAGGCCAAATGCATTGGAATTTTGTTATCATTCTACCTGCCTGTGCATCCTTCCACGTATATATTTAAAATGTACCCTTTGCCACACCCTTTCTCCCTGTTCTTTTTAGAGAGGTCTGGCCTACTGGCAGCCTGCCTTAGCCCTTGTGGGCTCAAGACTAGTGGACAGGGCTGAACACTGCTCTACCTCAGACTAAGAGTTCCAGCACCTTAGGCCTTTTCTGCAGTCACCTCTGGACTAGGTCTGCATGGTAATGGGGAAGGTTTCAGACACTAACATCCTGGTGCTTGTTGCTTCTTACTGAAACTGTGTGCCTGGTCACATTGTGCCCGTCCTCGGGCCCAGCTCCTTAGCCAGTCCAGGCTGGTTTTCCCACCTCCCTTGCTCATTCCCCTGTTTCCCTGGCCTCAGTGTCTCCTCCTCAGACAGGTCTACACCCTCACAGGTCAGAGCCTCTGCAGATGGCAGCATCTCAGAGTCCTCGTCTCCCATTCCCTCTGTTCTTCCTCACTACTCCAGCTCTCTGCTGTTGGTTCACTCTGATTGGAATGCTGCATTTATCTCATGCCCCAAGTCAAAGCTTCCCAGGAGGAAGTTTATTACTTCTGCCAACCAGTGTGAGATAGTCTGTCACGTAACACTGTGAAGTGCTCAAGAAAAGAAAAGGCAAAGCCATTTGTCTCATACCAGCTCAATTTTAATTTTAAAGTGAAAAACGTACAGGTGGGAAGGTTAAGCAACACCCTGTAGATTCATAACAAGGAGCTGAATCTAGTTTTGTCCTACTACAAGCTAATTAGTAGCTCTCCAGCAGTGATTTATTTGTAAGTCACAGCACAGAAACACCACTCTGGAGTTGTGGTCCATTTATTAGTTGGAGGAAGCAGTTTTAAGTCTGTCATGTCCTGTGGTCAAAGTGAGCATTGTACTTGGAAAAAATAATATTTTACTAGCCAGCAGTGTTTTTGGGGAGCCTGGTCCCGCTAGCTGGCATACTCGACCAGCCATGGGTCTCATCTGCCATCACACACATAGACCTCACCCCAGGGGAGGTTCCTGATTTGTGTCAAACTCTCTTGTACCATAAAAATCAAGTAAGGGTGGATCTGACAGGTTATCCCAGCAGCTTAAGAAGCAGAGTATTTAACTTCATTTGTAGAAAAGAAGGGAGTAGTAACGGCTAGAGGCTGAGGTAGCCTTTATTTAAAGTGCAGTCTACTTGCCAGGACCTGTCCCAAGCAGCTATCATTGTCAGTGATGTTCATGTCAGCTAACTAGAACCTGGTTGGGCCGGTTCTCACCACACATCAAAAGCAGAAAGCCCTTTGCAGTATGGCTGTACAGTGAGAAGAACGGGCCTTTAGGAAGGAGATATACTGAGGGGTTTGTGCCATTGCACACCCTTAAGACATTAAGCTAGCTGTGCCAGGAGCTAAGCCACCAGCACTTCCCTTTGGTTGGTTTTGCAGCTGCACAAAGGCTGCCAGGGATATAGCCTTCCTTAGGGAAAGCACTTTGGTGGGACAACACTGAATAGGTCGTCAACAGATAATCATTAAGACCACAAAGAACAAGATAGGGGGTCACAGGCAAATGGCTTTATTGGCTTATTGTTTAAAATGGGCTTGTCATTCACAAGGCTTGGGAAGTTCAGAAAACTTCCAAAAGAGATGTTCAAACAAACCCCTTTCTAACCAGTCAAGGGGAAAGAACGGTAGGCCCTAGACTGGCTCTGCAGCTTTTGAGTCCAGCCTACTCAGTGTGAACCAGGCATGCTGGGCCGACTGCAAGCCATACCTGTGCTTTTACTATCTAAGAGTTCTAGGGTCTAGATTCAGAAATGTTACTAGCCAACCTGAGCTCGTACCCTCGGTGACTCTGCCAAGGGAGAAAGGGGAGAAAACCACAGACTAGAGATGGGCCAGACACCCACCTTCTTGGCCTTTGTTAGAGCCCAAGTGTGGCTCTCTGGGCCTGCCGTGGGAATGAACCATGGCAAAGCCACTAAGAAGCACAAAAGGTCAGTGTGATACTGGCATCTCCGAAATAATGTCCTGAAAGTACAAATGAACAGATTCCATATACAGACTAGAGGTGATTGAACTTAAAACATTTAAATATAAATCAAGCTATAACTTAAGTTACAACTAGAAGAAAAACAAGAAAACCCAAAAGATAGTCAGCAATGGAGACTGCTGAACACATACACAGGACACCCCAAACACGAGGCTATTGAAGCGATGCCATTTTCATTGTGCCAAGTTTACATTCATCATGTACTAGTCCAACCAGGCCATGCCGCACCGCACCATCATGCTGTCTGGCATTGCACGCCAGCGCGGGGCCCGTCGTCGTCTTCCTCATAGGCCTCCCTGTGTTGGCGCCAGCTCTGCTCGTTGGGATTGAACTCCTTCAACTCCACCTGATCCATGTCATCTGTGATCCTCACCTTCTGCCGAGGGGGAAGCAGAGCCTCCAGCTGAGGAAGCTTCTCCTGAGAAAGCCACTGCTTTTCAGGGAAGACTACCTGCAGAGGTGAGCACAAAGGTTTCTTTGCAGTAGAAGTAGATGGTATATCTCATGAGAGTAAAGAGTGAATGCACTTACTAAAAACTGTATGATCAGCATCCCCTTCTCCAGAGGAGCTTTGTAGATGGGCATTCCCTCGTTGCGGACACATTTCAGGTCCCCATGCTTTATCACCTCACCTGCCAAAAGAAAGTCTATTTATCAAACAGGAAGGAGCCTAAAGAGGTTAACCTTCCTCTAAGAAGAGCTAGAGTAGGCTCTAGTGGCCTTGTGGTGATGGGCAGAGGATGGAGCGCTATCCCTGTTAGGCAATAAGCGGGAGACTGTGGTCCACATCAGGAAGGCAGCAAGCACACTGAGACCTCTTCCGTACTGCAGAAGGGTTTAAAGTCAGGACACTGGACCTGCTTCCAACAGGGCTGTACCTGCCTGTGTCTTCTGGTGATTATGGATGTCCCTAGCACAAACAAGATGACTGCTGCTCACAGGTTCAGGCAGAGCTTAGAAAGGGGATTCACAGGAATCTTCCAGTTTCTCCCCTACCCCCATCAGCTTCCTGAGGCTGCATCGCAGGTGGGTGCTAGGTGGTACTTGTTCTACTGAAGCTGGTGAGTAAGCTGTACCAAATGCAGCAAGATCTCTAAAGGCATCTTAAGGAATTAGTTCCTGTGGCACGTAGGACTCTCCTCCGCCAAGGCTTACAGGGGTTATCTCTTGCTAGGCTTGGAAGAGATTAGGGACAAAAAAGTAACTGGGAAAATACTCCCTTCGGTCATGAAAATGGACAAAGGCTGGGCTGCTGTAGTTCACTGGGCCAGAGGCTATCAAGTATGGCTAAGCTCCTGTGTTTAGTCTCCAGCCCCACAAAACATAGGAAGATGTGGACGGGACAGAGGAAACTGAAGACTGCCTTACTCAGTAGTTCCTCTCCCAACAGCACACTATACAGAAAGTAAAATTTCTTTCACAGAAACTTTTTCAAGTCCATCAGTAGTTTTAAAAATTCAGCATGCCAGTGCACCCTATGCATTGGCCATTCCTCATGGACGCAGGGTGTTAGGGTGATGGCTTAGCTGACAGGCACAGGCTGCTGGGCTTTTTGTGTTGTCAGTGGACTTGTTTGGAAATATCCTTTCTGTGTCTGGTCATCAGGTGCCACTTCCTGCTGTTCCCCAGCCCAGATCCCCAAGCTACCTCAGACTTGCTGGGATTGGGAACCCAGAGGACAAGAGTGGAAAAGCCTAATGGATAAGAGAGAAAAGCCCTACACACCTCTGCCAAAGGCAACGCCCCCTGCTTCCAACACCCACAATTCCTTAAGAGTTAAGTGGTTCTGGCAAGGCAGATAGCTCAACAATGAGGGAAAGGGAGAGAAATTGAAAGATAAACCAATAGAAAAGGAAGGAAAGGGTGTGTGTGCGCACACACGCATGCAAGCATGCACACATGCACCAGATACTAGGAAGAAATCCCAGCAGATTTTCTAGATACCCTATCCTTTCTCCCACCTAAGCAAGAAGTAGGTTTCTAAGGATTTCTTTTCCTTCCCTCTGGGGCTTCTTCCTCATGAGCCCCATTTCTGTCATTGACTCCCAGATTCCTCAAGGTGGGATCAGGGAAGGTAGTGAGACTGCTCCCCCTGCAACAGGGCCCTGCCCCAGGGAATTCTGCCAGGATGACCTGACCACATTACCCACCCTTAGCCAAGGGTGGGCTTTTCCAAAGTCACACAAATGCTGCCAGTCCTAGCTCTCTCACAAACGCTAGAAATTGGGATATGAGAATGTTTGGGGACTGAGATACAACACCAGGCCCAGTTCTGTTCGTAACAGGTGACCTAAGGCCTTGTGTGAAGTGTAATCCTTCAACTTTATGCCTCAAGTTTCAGGAAGGACTGGGTACCTGGGAGATTGTGGAGTGGAGCCTAAAGAAAGGCGTCTGTGATGTTAGAACTTCACAGACTAAATCACAGTGTAGGGCTTGACTTGTGTATATATATACCTGATCTTGACTAAGTATATATAAGCACATGTACCTGGGGTAAAAAATTTAGTGGCAAATCTCACATTTGGTGGATTTTGTATATTTTTATCTCTACAACTTTTTGTAAGCTTGAAATTTGTTTTTCTGAGACAGTCGCTTTCTTTTTGTAAGTTTGATCCATTTGCTCAAGGTCCTGGTGCTGAGATTAAAGGCCAGTACTCGCATACTTGGTTCATGTGGTGCTAGGGACTGAGCCCACAACTTCATGAATGCTAAGCAGTCTACCAACTAAGCTACATCTCCAACACACACACACCCGAT